TCCGCATCATGCCGGCCACGCTGCCTGCCAGCCGGACCAGATCGGTCGGCTCGTCGTCATCAGCGTAATCCTCCGAGTTGCGATTTGATCCTCTCATGATCCGCTGCTGTGCTAGCAGCTCACGCTTCAACTCCCGCCTCTCTGCCCCCGCCCGCTCACACCCGACCAAAAGCACGTGTATCGCCCGAATCAAACAGTTGGCATTATCCGAAAACCCCTGTATTTCCGGGAGGTACACACAGGTTTCCCAAGACTCCCCACCCAGCATGATTGCAAACAGAAACGGAAGCATGGCCCAAGCTCCGTCCCCCACTCCTCCTATCTCCATCAGCAAATCAAGCACCTCTGCAAATGTCCCATCCGCCCCTCCTCCCCCTCCGCCCACCTCCTCCTCCCCTCCCCCTCCCCCGACCCCTGCCATCCCCCCCGCGCCCCCCATCCCACTCGCAACCACCGCCCCTCCCGCTGCAACCGCCGCTGCCCCCGCTGCCCCGCCTCCCACCCCGCACCTAGCAGCAACCCTCCTCAACTGCCCTACCGCCACACTCTCGGGACAAGAGGGAGGGAGGTGGGAGGCTGTATCTCGGAGAACAGACAGCACGAGGGGGATATGGTCGTGGAGAGTGGAGGAGCAGGCGGAGGAGAGGACGTGGAGGAAGGAGAGGCAGTGGCCGATCTGGATGCAGAGGGAGAGAGCTTCCTCTGCTGGCGCTGCTATGGCTGCTGCTGCTGCTGCCGCTGCTGCTCCTCTGGCTGCTGCGTGCGGGTGGCGCTGCCTGTGCCTGTGCTTGTACCAGGTTTGCTTGCAGCAGATGGGCCTGTAGCGGCTTTGCCTGCTCCAGCTGTGCCTGTACCAGATGTGCTTGTATCAGGTGTGATTGTATCCGTTGTTCCAGGGCCAGGTGTGGTACCAGCAGGATCAGCAGAAGAATCAGTAGCACCGGCAGCACTAGCGGCAGCGGCAGCGGCAGCAGCCGCAGCTGATGGTACCTGCAAGGGAGGAGAGAGGTGCATTTTAGAAGCGAGCATCATGAGGGAATCTCGGTTCGCTCTCAGACCCAAAAGCAACACCAACGTCGCCAGCTCATCCGCCTCGTAGAATGGCTTGAATGCAACTGAAAGGAGTTTTGAAAAAACCCAAACAAAACTCACTTGCAAGGGAGGAGAGAGGTGCATTTTAGAAGCGAGCATCATAAGGGAATCTCGATTCGCTCTCAGAATGGCCTCCAGGCGACTGAGCAGGCGCAGCAGCACGGGCCGCACCACCCGCCCTGCCAGCTCATCCGCTCCGTAGAATCCAAACAGCCTCACAAACGCTGCCAGCTCAGCACCATCCGCCACCAGCTCAGCAATCACCGGTCGAGCCCCCAGCTCTGACTTGCCCCCCGCTCCCCCTACTCCTGCTGCACCTCCTGCTACTCCTGATGCAGCAGCAGATGCCGCACCAGGGGGCACTGAATTGGGTGAGGCGAGAATCGGGGAGATGGGGGAGGAGGCAAGGATCGAAGACACAGTGGCAGCAGTCTGAGGGGAGGCTGTAGTGAACGGAGAAGCAGCAGAGGAGGAGGGAAAGGTGGAGGCAGAGGAGGAGGGAGTGGAGGAGGAGATGGAGGAGGAAGTGGGAGGAGTGGTGTGAGAAGGACTGGGGCTGGGGAAGGGCAGGAGGGGGCTGAACGTGCCTGCTGCTGCTGCTGCTCCTGGGACGAGTGCAGGAGAGGAGGCCACAGGGGGCGTTAGATGACCAGGTGGGAGAATTCCTGTTCCAACTTTGACTGGACTGCTGCTGCTGGCGCCTACCCCTTCTGCTGTTCCTCCTGCTGCAACGCCTGCTGCTGATAATGATGCTACTTCCCCCCCGCTGCCTGTGCTTCTAAACGTGGCATCAAACGGGGAGAACAGCACCCCGGCATCGTTACAGTCACACACCACATTGTCAACGTACCATCGCGCTATAATCACAGCAGCACTCGGCCCATCAAAGCTCTCACCACCACCATCATCACCACCACCACCAACAGCCCCATCTTCATTCCATCCAAACCCACCCTCTCTTCCTTCCTCCTGCACTTGCTGAGAAGCGTCCCCTTGTCCTCCTATCACTCCACTCCCACCATCTCTCACTTCTACACCCTCCTCTCCTATGCAACCCTCCTCCAAACCTGTTACCATACCTGTTCCCATACCTGTTCCCATACCTGTTCCCATACCTGTTCCCATGTCCGATCCCATACCGATCCCCATGCCCTTGCCTTGTTTGGACCCTACTGTCCATCGTCCCTTCCACCCGCCACTCTTCCTCAGCCGAGAATCCAGTGAGCTTGACACTGCCTTGCCATGCACCCCTCCTCTCTCCCCTCCTCTCTCCCCTCCTCTCTCCTCCCATCCCCTCTCTTCCCCTATTCTCTCCACCCCTCCACTCTCCTCCGCTCCCCTCTCCTTCCCACCCTTTCTCCCCCCTTCCCCATTCCACAGTCCTCCCCCTCCCCCTCCCACTCCCACACCTCCCTCTCCCTTTCTCCCTCTTCCCTCACCTCCCCTCCCCATCCCCCCAATCTTCTCCCTCTCCCAATCAGGCCGATACAGCGGGTGCAAGTCCCTACACCCCCCCACAACCTGCTCTTCATACACCTCCTCATGCCCCTCCTCCCTCCCTGCTCTCTCCCTTTCCCCTTCCTCCATCTCCTCCCCCCTCCCCCCGCCCCTCCTAGGAAACGCCTCCCCCAGAAGAACCTCCCGGATGGTTCGAGAGAGGTCGAGGGAGCAGTGCTGCTGCAGGAGCAGGAGGAGGAGGAGGAAGCGCGTGAGGGAGGACTCGAAGGCGGAGGGGCGCTGCAGGTGGCCGTTGGGAAGAATGGCGGAGCGCAGGCGGTGGCGTAAGTGGCGGGTGAGGCGCTCCCACAGGTACTGTTGATGGGATGGGGTTGTAAGGGAAAGGGAGGCAGAAGCGGAGAGGGAGGCGGAAGGGGAGAGGGAGGGGGTAGTGGAAAGTAGATAGGGATAGAGGGGACAGGGAAAAGGGGACAAGGGACAAGGATGGAAAGGTCAGAGATTGTGCAGGACTCGAATGCGGAGGGGCGCTGCAGGTGGCGCAAGTGGCAGGTGAGACGCTCCCGCAGGAACTGTTGGGGTGGAGAGGGTATGGGAGAGGGATCAGGAACGGAGGGTAGGGGACAGGGGACAGGGGACAGGGGACAGGGGACAGGGGACAGAGGATGGGACTGCTTAGAACTCGAAGGCGGAGGGGCGCTGCAGGTGGCCGTTGGGGAGAATGGCGGAGCGCAGGCGGTGGCGCAAGTGGCAGGTGAGACGCTCTCTCAGGTACTGTTGGGGGTCCGGTATAGGGGATCGCGAACATGAAACAGGGGGTAGGGGGACAGCAAATGGGGATGGAGAGTTACTTGAAATTCCAAGGCAGAGGGGCGCTGCAGGTGGCCGTTGGGAAGAATGGCAGAGCGCAGGCGGCGGTGTAAGTGGCGGGTGAGGCGCTCCCGCAGGTACTGTTGGGGTGGGGTGGTAGGGGGTGGCGGAGCGGGGACAGGGACAGAGGGTAGGAGAGAGGGGACAGGGGACAGGGGACAGGGGACAGGGGATGGGACTGCTTGGAAATCTAAGGCGGAGGGCTGCTGCAGGTGGGCTTGGGGAGAATGGCGGAGAGAATGGTGGGGTGAAATCTAATCTACTTTCGAGAATGGTGGGGTGAAATCTAATCTACTTTCGAGAATGGTGGGGTGAAATCTAATCTACTTTCGAGAATGGTGGGGTGAAATCTAATCTACTTTCGAGAATGGTGGGGTGAAATCTAATCTACTTTCGAGAATGGTGGGGTGAAATCTAATCTACTTTCGAGAATGGTGGGGTGAAATCTAATCTACTTTCGAGAATGGTGGGGTGAAATCTAATCTACTTTCGAGAATGGTGGGGTGAAATCTAATCTACTTTCGAGAATGGTGGGGTGAAATCTAATCTACTTTCGAGAATGGTGGGGTGAAATCTAATCTACTTTCGAGAATGGTGGGGTGAAATCTAATCTACTTTCGAGAATGGTGGGGTGAAATCTAATCTACTTTCGAGAATGGTGGGGTGAAATCTAATCTACTTTCGAGAATGGTGGGGTGAAATCTAATCTACTTTCGAGAATGGTGGGGTGAAATCTAATCTACTTTCGAGAATGGTGGGGTGAAATCTAATCTACTTTCGAGAATGGTGGGGTGAAATCTAATCTACTTTCGAGAATGGTGGGGTGAAATCTAATCTACTTTCGAGAATGGTGGGGTGAAATCTAATCTACTTTCGAGAATGGTGGGGTGAAATCTAATCTACTTTCGAGAATGGTGGGGTGAAATCTAATCTACTTTCGAGAATGGTGGGGTGAAATCTAATCTACTTTCGAGAATGGTGGGGTGAAATCTAATCTACTTTCGAGAATGGTGGGGTGAAATCTAATCTACTTTCGAGAATGGTGGGGTGAAATCTAATCTACTTTCGAGAATGGTGGGGTGAAATCTACTTTCGAGAATGATATTGCTTAGAAGTTACCTCTCGGGGCACGAAAGCATGGTCGGCGACTCTGACAGGTGGCAGGCCGTCAATGGCTGTCACGAGCCCCACTAGCTTGTGCAGTGATGCGCTTATGCTGGTAGGGTAGGGAGGGGAGGATAAGGTAACGGTGGAGAGGTAAAGGTGGAAGGCAGTTTCGTTCCTTACAGTTGCTTAAGCGTTTTCTTCAGGATTTGCAGCTATTCCGATATGAGTTTGGATGCTGGTGGGGTAGGGAGGGGAGGATAAGGTAACGGTGGAGAGGGCGTGGAGTGGATGGAGAGAGACAGAAGAAGTAAACTCAGAGAAAGAGGAGGTGATCTAGCTGCAGGGTGTTTTTGAGAATTCTCAGAAAGAATTCTCAGGGTGTTTTTGAGAGAGACAGAAGAAGTAAGATCCGAGAATTCTCAAAAAACACCCTGCACACATCACCTCACGCCATCAGTGTATGGAAGCACAGGAACTTACCTGGCAATGTGTGCGCAGTTGTGCGGCTGGCTCTCACTCCCTGGGAGCAGCTGCAGCAGCAGCTGGTGCTGTTGGTCTGCAGAGGGATGTGTGAGTGACTGCTGGTGAGCGGATGTCCCTTGAGTGGTGGTCGCTAGTAGGATTGCTGCAGCTGCTGGTAGCGTCTGCATTTGGGGAGCACATGGGAAACAACGGGGATACGTGAGGTGCCGCTGCTGTTGGTCTGCAGAGGGATGAGTGAGCGACTGGTGGTGACCTGCGGATGTGCCTTGAGTGGCGGTTGCTAGAAGCACTGCCTTGAGAATTCTCAAAAGGGATGTGCCTTGAGTGGAATCACTTTTGAGAATTCTCAAAAGGGATGTGCCTTGAGTGGAATCACTTTTGAGAATTCTCAAAAGGGATGTGCCTTGAGTGGAATCACTTTTGAGAATTCTCAGAAGGGATGTGCCTTGAGTGGAATCACTTTTGAGGATTCTCAAAAGGGATGTGCCTTGAGTGGAATCACTTTTGAAATTTCTCAAAAGGGATGTGCCTTGAGTGGAATCACTTTTGAGAATTCTCAAAAGGGATGTGCCTTGAGTGGAATCACTTTTGAGAATTCTCAGAAGGGATGTGCCTTGAGTGGAATCACTTTTGAGAATTCTCAGAAGGGATGTGCCTTGAGTGGAATCACTTTTGAGAATTCTCAAAAGGGATGTGCCTTGAGTGGAATCACTTTTGAAAATTCTCAAAAGGGATGTGCCTTGAGTGGAATCACTTTTGAGAATTCTCAAAAGGGATGTGCCTTGAGTGGAATCACTTTTGAAAATTCTCAAAAGGGATGTGCCTTGAGTGGAATCACTTTTGAGAATTCTCAAAAGGGATGTGCCTTGAGTGGAATCACTTTTGAGAATTCTCAAAAGGGATGTGCCTTGAGTGGCGGTTGCTGGAAGCACTGCCGCTGCTGCTGGTAGCGTCTGGAGATCATCAGCGGGAAACATGGGGGAAATGTGGAGGGCAGAAAGAATGATGCTTTGGGCGTACACACATGTGACACACGGGAGGAACATAACGAGGACATGTGGGCACACGTGGAGGACATGTGGGCACACGTGGAGGACATGTGGGCACACGTGGAGGACGTGTGGGCACACGTGGAGGACATGTGGGCACACGTGGACAGAAGGAGCACACATGGGACTCACCTTCATGTGTAGCCCAGTGAGGCCCTGGTCCGACTGTAGCGCTGAGAGAAGCGAGTCCACTCCCCCCATGATGGCATGGAGCAGCGAGTCGGCGAACTGCACTGCTGTTGGCAGGAGGGTGGGGCGCTGTGGGCAGCAGGGAGGGGGAGAAAGATGAGGGAACGAGATAAGAGACAGGGCATGGCAGAGAGAAGCGAGTCCACTCCCCCCATGATGGCATGGAGCAGCGAGTCAGCGAACTGCACTGCTGCTGGGAGCGGAGTGGGGCGCTGATGGGAGACAGCAGGGAAAAGGGCGGTGGGGAAGAGGAAGGAGCCACGGTGCTCTCAATGATCCGATTGGGAAAGAGAAAGAGCGAAAAGCGGTTTGTGCCAGAAAACATCAGCCTAGAGCGACCAAGAGCCTAGAGCGACCAAGAGCCATGAAAGATTTTTTAGGCGCCTCACGGGAAGAAAGAAAGAGGGGTTTCATTTCGTTTCACCTCGTCTGGAAGGGAGTGCGGCAGGTTGTGCAGGAAAGCTTGAGCCACCATGAGCCATCCTATGGCATGCGATGGCGTGCCGTGCGGGGAGAAAAGCACCTGGCGAAACACCTGAGGGGCAGGCAATCGGGCCAGGTGAGAAACACGATGGTCAGGGTGATGTGTAGATGAAGCGAAAGGGAGAGAAAATCAACCAGTTTCAAGGTTTCCGACTCTTTCAGAAGATCCGAGAGTAAAAGGAATTGGATAGCTCAGCGTGAGTGGGTACCTGGGTCATCTGTGGTCGATAATAGCACATGAGGTGCAAGGAGGCTTGCTCGTCCACTACCTCTGGTAGCTGATCAATGCACCTGACAGTGGTGGGATGGGAGGGAAATGAGATGCTGAGAGGTGGAGAGCGGTGTGTGTATATTTTGAGGGAGCTTAATCAACGAGAGGTCATAACGTACCTGAGCCTAACAGCAAGATGAAGGGCGAGGAGTGCAGAACACCTTGACTTGGACAGCAACACACCTGCACCATGTGTAGAGGCGGTTGCATTCGGTGACGATACTAGTCGGCCCATCATCCCCCCCCGACACCAGATGCAGCACTCGAGCTGACACCGTGGTGTATGGCGATGAGAGCAGCAGCTGCAGCTGTATCCACTCGCTCCTCATGCTGTGCCATGCCAGCTGGTCCGATGCGAGGGCGTGCTGGGAGGGAAAGAAAAGATGAGCCAGAGACAGGGGACAAACGCAGGGTAAGTAAGCAGCTGCAGCTGCATCCACTCGCTCCTCATGCTGTGCCACGCCAGCTGGCCGCATGCCAGCGCGTGCTAAGGAAGAGAAGAGAGGGCAGTGGAGTGAACAGAGGAGCGGAGTGTCAATTAGGAACGACAGGGAAAGAGCAGCGGCTGCAGCTGCATCCACTCGCTCCTCATGCTGTGCCATGCCAGCTGGTCCGATGCGAGGGCGTGCTGGGATGGAAAGAAAAAAGTGGGGCTGAGGCTTAGTTGCCCCTGAATGTCCCTTTCCTCCACACACACACAGGCTTAGTTGCCCCTGAATGTCCCTTTCCTCCACACACACACAGGCTTAGATGCGCCTGAATGTCCCTTTCCTCCACACACACACAGGCTTAGATGCGCCTGAATGTCCCTTTCCTCCACACACACACAGGCTTAGATGCGCCTGAATGTCCCTTTCCTCCACACACACACACAGGTTTAGACAGGCAACAGGTGAGCTTTTGAGACGTCTCAAAAACTCGTTTTTATTACGTCGCTGAGGCTTAGATGCGCCTGAATGTACCTTCCTTCCACACACATACACAAGCTCAGACAGGCAAAGGGTGAGCACCCTTCATACCTTACTTTTGAGTCGACTCAAAAGTCGACTTAAAGTCGAGTCGACTCAAAAGTCAACTACCTTTCTTCGACACACATACACAAGCTCAGACAGACAGGCAAAGTGTGAGCACCCTTCAAATCTTTTGAGAATTCTCACAGGCAAGGGGTGAGCACCCTTCTTCATATCTTACCATCTGCATTCGTTCTTCGTACTCCATGCTGCTCCCTCCGCCACTGCCATTCCCACCGCCAGCGCATGCCACGTCAGCGTCGCACAGGAACCGGGCGGCTGCCAGCATGGACGCTGACGTGTCACGGAAGAAGGCCTCCAGCTGGGCGCCCATCGCCAGCTGGCGCACGGCTGGCAGCGCGATCAGCTCTTTGACACGCCTCGCCCCCCACTGCACCTGCCACGATGCATGCGCCTGGACGGCTGGAGAATGGGGGAACAAAATAAAGGGGCGGGGAAAAGGGGGCGGGGAAAAGGGGGCAGGGAAAAGGGGGCGGGGGTATTCAGTTCACTCAGGTGTTCCCTCACCCGCCTCGCCCCCCACTGCACCTGCCACGATGCATGCGCCTGGACGGCTGGAGAATGCGGGAAGGGAGGAAGGTTGAGAGAAGGAAGGATGCAATGGTGAGGTGTCAGCCACACCAACACGTCCCATGCAATGGTGGGGTGTCAGCCCCACCAACACGTCCCATGCAATGGTGAGGTGTCAGCCCCACCAACACGTCCCATGCAATGGTGAGGTGTCAGCCACACCAACACGTCCCATGCAATGGTGAGGTGTCATCCACACCAACACGTCCCATGCAATGGTGAGGTGTCAGCCCCACCAACACGTCCCATGCAATGGTGAGGTGTCATCCACACCAACACGTCCCATGCAATGGTGAGGTGTCAGCCACACCAACACGTCCCATGCAATGGTGAGGTGTCATCCACACCAACACGTCCCATGCAATGGTGAGGTGTCAGCCCCACCAACACGTCCCATGCAATGGTGAGGTGTCAACCCCACCAACACGTCCCATGCAATGGTGAGGTGTCATCCACACCAACACGTCCCATGCAATGGTGAGGTGTCAGCCCCACCAACACGTCCCATGCAATGGTGAGGTGTCAGCCCCACCAACACGTCCCATGCAATGGTGAGGTGTCAGCCCCACCAACACGTCCCATGCAATGGTGAGGTGTCATCCACACCAACACGTCCCATGCAATGGTGAGGTGTCAGCCCCACCAACACGTCCCATGCAATGGTGAGGTGTCATCCACACCAACACGTCCCATGCAATGGTGAGGTGTCATCCACACCAACACGTCCCATGCAATGGTGAGGTGTCAGCCCCACCAACACGTCCCATGCAATGGTGAGGTGTCAGCCCCACCAACACGTCCCATGCAATGGTGAGGTGTCAGCCCCACCAACACGTCCCATGCAATGGTGAGGTGTCAGCCCCACCAACACGTCCCATGCAACCGATGTAGCAACCGATGCTCGATAATTATAATGAGTCCTGACTCCAGCAAAGCCCTGGGAACAGGACAACCCGAATCACAGCCATCCCAGCAGCAGCAGCAGCAGCAGCAGAACCACGTACCGAGCATGTGGGTCTGGATGAGCGAGACGAGGCGGAACATGGTGTCGATCAGCACTGAAGTGACACTGTATCAGTCGACTCTAACAGCCATCCCAGCAGCAGCAGCAGCACGTACCAAGCATGTGGGTCTGGATGAGAGACACGAGGCGGAACATGGTGTCGATCAGCACTGCCACCGAGTCTGCCTCTGGTCCCTGCAGGGAGGGCGGGAGGCAGGGTGTGGCGGGGTGTGGAGGGGTGTGGCAGGGTGTGGCAGGGTGTGAGAGAATGCATGTGGGTCTGGATGAGCGAGACGAGGCGGAACATGGTGTCGATCAGCACTGCCACTGAGTCTGCCTCTGGCCCTGCAGGGAGGGCGAGAGGTTGTGGCAGGGTGTGGCGGGATTGGCAGGGTGTGGCAGGGTGTGAGTCTGCGAGATGAAGCATGTGGTCAGGCCCAGCACGGCTGGCAGCAGCTGTAATGTAGGCGCCAGCACCGAGGGCTCATACGCCAACCTCAGCAGCAAAGAGAGAGCGAGAGAGGCGCACTTTAGGGCCCTCAAGAGGGCAGCGCAGAGAGAAAGAGAACCCCTGGATTACCGTGACGGGAGCGGACTGGGCGAGGCAGGAGGTGTGCAGTATGGCCCAGTGCACCTCAGCTCGCAGCAGAGCCAGCACCGCCAGCACCAGCTGCAGCATGGGTGGCAGCAGGGAGGGCTCGTCCGCCAGCCTCAGCAGCAGGCGCCTGCCCTCGTGGCCCAGCAGGAAACGCCTCCTCCTGTGCGCGTCTGCCATTCTCTGCAGACACGCGTGCATGCCATTGCCACTGACTAGGTCCCTGATGATCAAGAGTGGCAGAGCAGAGGGAGTAGAGACATAGGGGGTGGATTTTTGAGTCGACTCAAAATTCGACTTATCACCCAGTGCCACTGACTAGGTCCCTGATGATCAAAAGGGGCAGAGGAGAGGGAGTAGAAACATAGGGGGTGTGGGTTGATCACACAGCCTCAGCAGCAGGCGCCGGCCCTCGTGGCCCAGCAGGAAGCGCCTCCTCCTGTGAGTGTCTGCCATTCGTTGCAGACAGGGGTGCATGCCACTAGCACTGGCTAGATCACTGACTTTTGAGTCGACTCAAAAGTCACCTCGTTGCAGACTGGCATGCATGCCACTAGCACTGGCTAGATCACTGTTGGTCAAGGGAGAGAGAAAAGGGGCATATGGCACATACACACACATGCACACACATGCACACATTGAAGAACGACCCTGTCAACCAACCTCACCAAATTTGAGAAAATTCTGAAGTAGGCACAACTCACCTATAAGTCTATAGCACTCACCCTATCAGTCGGCAGCACTCCCTCAGTCGCTGATGCTCCTCCTCTGCTCTCTGCGCTCTGTGCCTCGCTGCTGCCTCAAAAGCCACCTAGCAGCAGACGCATAGCCCAAACAGCACTCACCCCACCACTCGGCACAACTCACCCTAGCAGTCGGCAGCACTCCCTCAGGCGCTGATACTCCTCCTGTGCTCCCTGCGCTCTGTGCCTCGCTGCTGCCTTGGCCGCTTTCTTCCCCTCCCCCAGGCGCCCCACCGCCCACTGCTGCACCTCGGCATGCACACACAGCACCTCGTCTCTGAAAAGAGGCACGATGGCCCTCGTGTGGAGGAGAGTCTGTAAGGGAGGGAGAGAAGGGGAAAAGGAGAAAGATGGAAGGGATGCAAAGGGAAGTGTGATTGCGCTGCCCTTTTTCCTCCCCATGGCCCACTGCTGCACCTCTACATGCTGCGCACATGGTGAAGGGATGAGCATGCGTGCATTGAGTCGTGCATTGAGTCGTGCATTGAGTCGTGTATTGAGTCGACTCAAAACACCCTTCCCCATCTGCACCCCCCATGGCCCACTGCTGCACCCCTGCTCTACATGCGCACATGGTGAAGGGATGAGCATGCGTGCATCCATACGCATCTGATCTGACTATGTCCCACATCATCGCATCCCATCGCATTGCATCGCATCTCACCTGGATAAGAGCAGCAGCGTCACGTGTGCCTTTTACAATCTCCACAGGGCATGTGAGGAGGGCGAACAGCGCCCACTCACTGTACGCCTCCATGCTCACCAGCTGCTCGCTCTGAGGGGGGAGGGTAGGGACGCGGGTGGCAGGCCGCAGGTGGTGAGTGGTTGTGGATCAATGAGTGAAAAGTAAGCCTTTCATAACACAACACACTCTCCACAGGGCATGTGAGGAGGGAGAAGAGCGCCACTCGCTGTACACCTCCAAGCTCACCAGCTCCTCGCTCTAAGGGGGGATGGAGGGGGGGTGGGGTGAAGGGTTGGGGGAAGAGAGCAGCACACAATCGAACCCTTCCCACCACGGGGCATATGAGCAGGGCATATGAGCAGGGCATATGAGCAGGGCGAACAGCGCCCCCTTTTGAGAATTCTCAAAAGAATTTTACTTTCACTTTTTGAGAATTCTCAAAAGAATTTTACTTTTCCTTTTTGAGAATTCTCAAAAGTACCATTCCCACTACGGGGCATATGAGCAGGGCGAACAGCGCCCACTCACTGTACCCCTCCACGCTCGCTCACCAGCTGCTCGCTCTGAGAGGAACGTTGGAGTGGGGTTGCAGGGGTTGTGAGTTAGGCAGGAAGTGAAACACACGAACAAAGCCTTTCACGGTCTCACATGCTATGAGCATATGAGGAGGAGCAAGATCGCCCACTTGCTGTTTGCCTCCCTGTCCGCCCACTCTCTAAGAGGCGCCTAAAGCACATACGACCCACCATACCATGAGGTCCCAGGGCGGGGGAGCGGATGCCACATCAGGCCACGATGTGAACGGCTTCACAAACACGTCTGTGCGAAGCTTCTGAGTGTCTTCCCATGCGAGAATGATGGGAGCAATGACGTCCACAGCCTAAGGAGGGAAAGCGGAGGGGAGATGGGGATGGGCAGATTGAGAGGCTTGTGAGGCTTGTGAGGCGCCTCAAAAGGAGCAGCAGAAGGGACAGGACAAGGAGTGAGAATAAGACAGGGAGCGAGAGCAGATTACCTATCAGGTTTCTGCTTTTTTGCATTGGTGCCCGAAATTGAGCACACACACGGTATAGGCGACTTGCACGATATGGAATGGCAGATGACTGATATACGACCAGCTGACCTTAGAGATCCGGGGGGCAACAGTCCTGAGATCCTCCTGGAGGCCCAGCATAGGGGAGTCGTATGCCTGCACGTACTGCAGCACCCTGGGGGGAGGGGAAGGAACGTGGGACGGAGGGGAGGAGGTGGGAGGGAATTACGGTGTGTGCTCACACAGTCCTGAGATCCTCCTGAACGCCCAGCATAGGGGAGTCGTATGCCTGCACGTACTGCAGTACCCTGGGGGGAGGGAGGGTGGGGTGGAAACGGAGGAGGGAGGCGGGAGGGAAGAGTGATATGCGCACACTCAACTCTGAGATCCTCCTGGACGCCCAGCATAGGGGGAGACGTATGCCTGCACGTACTGCAGCACCCTGGGAAGGGGTGTAGAGGGGGAGATAGTGGGAGGGGAAAGGGGGCCGAGTGGAACGGAGTGGGTGTTTCACATCACAGCAACACACACAGCAGCAGCCATGAGGACCTCCTGCAGGCCCAGCATGGGGGAATCGTACGCCTGCACGTACTGCAGCACCCTGGGGGAAGTGAGGTGGAGGAAGTGAGGAGGAAGCGTGGTGGTACATGCTCTGGTGAGGTGTCACATGCAATGCAGAAATTTTTTTGAGTCGACTCAAAAATCGACTCATCACACATGCTCTGGTGAGGTGTCACATGCAATGCAGAACTTGCGATTGCTGTGTTTCGAGATTGCCAAGCCTTGAATTCGCCGTACCTTAGGATTGCCATACCTTGGGATTGCCACACCTTGGGATTGCCACACCTTGGGATTGCCACACCTTGGGATTGCCACACCTTGGGATCGCCATACCTTGGGATTGCCACACCTTGGGATTGCCATACCTTGGGATTGCCGTACCTGTCGTAGCTCTCTGGCACTTGGCCGTTGGTGGTATAGTGCACTGTCAGTGCGTGCACCTGCACTATCATTTTCTTCCCTGCCTGATCACCACACATAAAAACACGTAAAACCACGGAAGAGGAGATTATTACGGTAACATACCCAGTGTGAGAGGGCATGAGCTTACAAACTTCTAGTGGGAAAAAATCAACTCGCAAATAGACCCTTATTCGTGGAAAAGGGAGATTAACTAGGATTCCACCTCACCCTTAACGAGAGGATATTAACTCGCACGAAATCGGAGAAAAGGCCCATGAAGGAGCGAAGCACGAGCGGGTTCACCATTGGCTGAAAGGGACGGAACCAAACACAGGAGGGGCGAGTTTTGAGTCACCCAGAAAGAACCATAAAGGAGCGAAGCACAAGCGGGTTCATTCATTAGTGGAGCCACCAACTTGGTCGAATGCAACCCCGGCACAAGAGTGACGGAGGAAGAGAAGGGAATGAGGAATACAGGAAACCAAATCTTGAGGAAGCCCAAACAAGAGGCATACACCAGTGAAGCCCAAATGGTTCAAACCAGGCCCAAACACTCCAAAGGCCATGGTTTGTTCTTACAGAAAGTGTGACAATGCTGGTGGCAAGATCGTTGAGCAGAACGAGGGCGTGTTCCCTGAAGAGAGCCAGGTCCACCAGCACCTGCAAAACCGGGCGAGCAGAGAAGAAAGAGTAATATGGGATGGTGTCATCTGAAGAGGTATGTAACCAGCCTTATCAGCGCATCCGCAGCCATAGACCAGCAAAACAACTGGGCATCAGAGCACCCACGCACCAACTGTACCTTGTGGTTCGGTCCGTACCTCGTACCAGGGCTGCAGGGAGGCTTGGAAGTGCGAGCCGAAGCTGGCGAACACCTCGAGAGCAGTTCGGTCCACCTTGTCAAGTTGCAGGTTCCGTGGGTGTTCGGGAAACTTCCTCCACAGGTGCGTGCACAGCTTCGGAAATTCCGGCACGATCCCCGATTTCCAAACCTGGTCCTGCGGTTTGGGAGAGTCCTGAGGACCCAGGTCAACGAGCCTAGACAGCCTGTACAGCTTCGGAATCAGGCCCCGAGCCGCGTTCCGAAGCTGCCGGATACGTCCGGCAATCTGAAGACCCCAAACAGCCACGGAATGATCGTCGTTAAGCTCTGGCGGCGGAGTCGGCGTCGCTGATGGATCTGATTCGTCGGGCCGTTCAGGTACCAAGCTAAGAGGTTTCATGTGCGATCCTGCGTTGCCTGATCCCCGATATTGCGGGATTCGACTAGGACTAGGGCTGCGCGCGGGAATTGGAAGGAGTGGGAGAAACTTTGGGCTGAAGGCTGGCCGAGGGGAGGAATCCATTCGAGCCATGCTTGAGCCGTAATCCTGATCGTTGGATATGACCGGGGAATTCGGTCGTCTATATCTTCTACCGTCCATTTCGTGTTGGTGGCTAATAAGATGAAGCAAAAGTATCTAATTACGAGCTTCTGCCGTCATCTCGCCTGACAAATCACCACCAACAAACGCATTTTTCCTTCCTTTCTTGAGGACTGGACGATAACGGTTGCATGCTTTCGAGACCTACTTTCTAGCGGTCACAGACAAAGCGGGACTGCACTGTTGTGACATACAGCAGTCCTGCTGGAACCACAGATGGTACCAGTTGGAGGGGTACGCTTGCTGGAGGAACCGTTACTTAAAAGTTGAGGGGTAAGGAGTAAGAATCTCGAGATTGCACCTGAATCTTCAATATCCTCGCTTCAAGCTTGCTTTCCTAAGTTTATGGATGTGCGATCTGAGACCTCGGTGTTGCCGACAGCTTCCTGACACTTGTTGATGGCTTCGCGACGACTGATGACGTTTCAACGATACTTGCGAAATTTCATTCGGATGCTGCTGGGTGCCCTTTGGGGCGTTCAGCCCTGTGACAGAGAGTTCGCGAGTCTGCCACCAGTCGCATATATGTCGCTCTTTTCGTCGTTGACATCTGGACATTTTGATTGGCGTGCCGTCGAACAACAATGCATTCTCAGGTACTGACTGATTACTATTGGCTGACGAAGAGGGCAGTACAGAGTCAGGGCGCGAAACATTTTTCGCGGGCTGAACTTCATGCTGGAAATTTTCGAATTGCGAATCGACCGACATGCTTGTATCGGAAGTATAAAATCCACATTTCAAAGTTTACATTGACCAGTGATATTAGATTGCTCGTACCGCTAGCGAGTTGTCACTAACGAACAACAGCCGCCAACACCAAGGAATATTAGGGCGTGTAACATTGCGATGACCGAAGCCAAAATCCGACCATTTGGTCATGTTGGCCGATATGCGAGGGAAGTGGTAACAAACACCTGGGGCGTCCACTGTAGATACAATGACCATGGTTGTGGCGTGGTCGATTTAGGGGCACGCACCCGTAACTACCCCCGTAATAAGAATTAAATGTCTAATCCAAAATTCAGTATTCGATGTGGGTGTGGATTATATGGGGCACGAGAAGATGGTAGTGTTTAGCAACCTCATAGGCCTCCGCGAGACAAATTCGGGGACTACCACGTAATGCTATCCCCAGATTTTATTCTGGGGGTGACCATCACGGCGGGGATACTTTCGTTACCAAAGTGGTCGCACGTACAGTCGCTTGGTTTGGGCGTTTGCTGAATCGGTCGTTATCGTGGTCATTTGGCGGGAAAATCTCGCATCCCTCGCCATCGTGTTACTCTCTTCGCATTCGCGCGCCCCAACCAAATGGTCGGATTTCGGCCTCGGTCATCGCAATGTTACACGCCCTTAGAGACTTCGACCAGCCAGAGCAGAACAGTAAGGAGCATGGTAGCTGGCAAGGAGTAAGCACTCGAAAGCCATCACAATGGCACGGTTTAAACCTAATCCTCGAATTCCTGCTTGCATCGGTAACACCTTGGCTTCTCCTCTCGCTGCTGCCGCTCCATCCATAATTCGATCTGCTTCGTCCAACCCACCCGCATCCCCGAGCCGCTCCTTCTTCAACTACTTCTTCCCCCCTCCACGTGTCAATCCTGGACCGGAGATTCCACCAACCAAGCCTTCCTATTGGTCGGATCCCGAGTCGCGCCTACAAACGTCACCCCTAGATTCGTCTAGAGACCTCGCCGCAGCGCCTCTCGCGCCGACGCTACAGCCGGGCGAGCTACCAAGATTAATCGCGAGTCGCGTCGCGTGCATGCGCAGCGGCGAGGTGGTTCTACGCGATATAAACATGAGCGTGTATGAAGGCGACGGTGTGCTTCTAACGGGGCCTAACGGCAGCGGGAAGAGCACATTCCTGAGACTGGTGAGAAGCTAGAGTGGCTTACGTTGTTAAAGCCATACCTGATCCCTGGAAACCACCTTATTAGGTCGTTAAAATCATCACGAGACTCTGTCCCTACTTTTCACTGTCTAGCCTCACTCTCTTCTCTTCCTCCCTCTCCCTCTCCCCCTCTCTACTTGCTTCTCCACGTGGCTGTCCAGCTGGCAGGGTTCATAAAGCCCACTGCGTGGATATATCTGATGCGTTTTTGAGGCACTTCAACCAAACTTGTTTTTTTCACCGTCTCTCCCTCTCCCCCTCTCTTCGTGCTTGTCCACGTGGCTGTCCAGCTGGCAGGGTTCATAAAGCCCACTGCGGGGTATCACATGTGTTTCTGAGGCGACTCAAAGCCCAGCTTGTTTTTCCCGCCCTCTCTCCCTCTCCTCCTCCCTTCTTGTGTGTGTGGCTGTCCAGCTGGCAGGGTTCATAAAGCCCACTGCGGGGTACCTGATGTGGCAAGGACACAGCCTCATGAACCCAGATGTATATGACAGTAAGGAGTGTGCTTGTATCGAGTGGGAGAGTGAGGAATGTGAGAGGAATGAGAGTGCAGCTGTGCGAGACGTGCCTGAGGATCGTGGCAGTAACGAGAGTGAGCGTAATGAGCGTACAAGGTCTGTGCATTGCGTGTCCATAAATCAAAGTACATCTCTGCTATTTGGGAATCACTTTTGAGAATTCTCAAAAGTACGTCTCTACTGCGTACAAGGTGTTCCCTTTGTTCCTGCGTGCTCTACTGCTTGCTGCTCCTATCGTGCTTTGAGTCCACAAAAAAAAACGTACCATACGCTTTCTGCCTGCTTTTCTGCCTTCTTTTCTGCATGCTGATCCTATCTTACATTCTACCTGAGCTCCCACCTGACATTCCACCTGGTGCGTTGACACGGCATGTCACATCACAGCATGTCACATCACGGCATGGCATGGCATGTGATGCCCAGTGTACTGTGTGAACGTTCACCTCATGGGAGCCAAGGACGCCATAAAGAACTCTTTTACTGTGGACGACAGTGTCGCAGGGAGTTTTTGAGAATTCTCAAAAACTCCCTACAATGTCGGGTGTTTTCAAGCCCACAGCTCACACCACGCCCCAATACACCACTCCACACCACACCGCACCACCACACCACCACGCCACGGCGTCACACCCCATGGGCAGTGTACCGTGTGAACGTGCATCTGATGGGCGCCAAGGACGCCATAAAGAACTCTTTCACTGTGGACGACAATGTGCGCACGTGGGCGCTCCTAGAGGGCACAGAGGACAGAGTAGCATGGGCGCTGGAGGCTGTGGGGCTGAAGCACCTGTCGAGAGAACCAGCCAGCATTCTCAGCATGGGCCAGGTGAGTTCTGGGGGAGGTGTCATCTGGGGAAGCTTGCATCTGGGTGTTCTGTGTCACCTAGCACTGCTGTTGGCGACTTAACTCGTCCTTGCTCCTTCTCCAATTCCCCCCACTTCTACCAGCGCAAGCATGTGCAGATGTCTCGGCTGTTGGCCATTCCCCGCTCCCTCTGGCTTTTAGACGAGCCCTCGGTGGGAAAAATGTTACTTATTCACTCTTATCCCCCTATTTTCCCCGCCTCTTCCCCTGTTCTAACCCCCCTGCCAAGCAGCGCAAGCGCTTACAACTAGCTCGACTCTTGGCCATACCGCGTTCCCTCTGGCTATTAGATGAACCATCTGTGGGGCTGGATGATTGAGGAACACCGGGCATTTAGTCCCCTCTTTTCCCCTCACTCCCCCGCCATTCCCCCCACGCCTCTACCAGCGCAAGCGCCTGCAACTGGCTCGTCTTTTGGCCATACCCCGCTCGTTGTGGCTATTGGACGAGCCCTCTGTGGGGCTGGACCTGGCAGGGGTTGAGCTGCTGGAGGGGATGATAGAGGAGCACAGAGCTGCGGGGGGCATTGCCTTTGTTGCCACACACACTCCCATCCACCTATCCAGCTGCTTTCTCCTCCGCTTCCCTGTCAGGTATGTATGTACCCCTACAGGCCCTCCTTGTGATGCATGGGACCCTAGTAATCGATTGTCTTTTGAGAATACTAGGAGGAAAAATGCTGCTGTCCCTATGAGGTACCTGACTCGACTACATTGACTTCACATGACCTTGTTAGTTGACCTGCACCTCCCTGTCAGGTGCTCTGTCAGGTGCTCTGTCGGGTGTTTTGGTCAGGTGTTTGACAGGTGTCCTGTCAGGTGCTCTATGAGTTGTTGCCTTGCCTTGCTTTGTCTCCTCGCTGTCCACTTCTTGAACCTCCCTCTGGCCTTGTGTCTGTCCATGTGTGTCTGCATGTGTGTCTGCATCTGTGTCCATGCATGTGTGTCCATGCATGTGTATGCATGGCGACCCTTCCTGCGGCCATATGTGAGAATGCTCAAACCATCAGGGACCCAAGAACATGTACCATGTGAGAAACCTGCTAGGTGCTGCCTACCATATGTTTTGTGTATGAAGCAACGCGCAGACTGGGTTTGAAGCTAAAAAGTATACGCACATTACTGTACCATTAGCTTTGAAGTGATTCTTCTTCAGCTGGCTCCATATCAATGAGTGTATACACGTACTAAGCAAGTGAAACTATCTACACCCGATGGTCGGGGGCTTAGTTTTCAAAAGCCCTGCCTAGTTCCAAAAGGCAGACTGTCAAAGGGCCTTAGTCGCAGTCAGCTCTCCCAACTCAGCTCATCTAGGTTCGGAGTATGAGGCGATGTGCCGACACCCAAGGTCATCTCTCCAACTCCAACCCAGCCCGTCTAGGTTCAGAGTACAGGGCAAGACACAAGACCTCCAAAGGCTGACTGTCAAAAGCCCGTACTCCAGGATCGGCCTGTTTAGGTTCAGAGAACACAAGGCGATGTTAGAGCGCCCAAGGGGCACGTTTTAAAGAGCCCTTGCTCACATTCAGCTCCCCGATCTCGGCATGTCCAGATTCAGGGCATCGAGGAGATGTGCAGATATTCCAAGGGACAGACCTTCAAAAGCCCTTGGTCACATTCAGCTCCCCTGAGTCAGCCTGTCTAGGTTCGGAGTATGTGGCAATGCGCAGACACCCAGCTTCGTCCTGATGCCACGTAATATCCACCACCATCAATGGCTGTGATTCTCCCGCGTCCACGTCAGCATCCTCCTCATTGGCGGCGGCCGTCTGAGGGATTGCAACGCACTCTGCACCAATCGGAACCTGCCACGTGGACAACAGAGGACCACAGGGGATGGATCAGCATTAGCCAGATGTACTTAAAGGGTGCAGCCATCAGTGAGCGTGATGGCTTCAAACCTCTTCCAACCATTCCAAACCACTTCAAAGCACCCCATCAGCCAGCCCGTGCAGCCATCCACAAGGGTGATGATGACTTTGAACCGCTCCTAACCACTACAGACCACTTCCAACCACTTTACACACACACACACACCTGAAGAGTGCGGCCATCCACAAGGGTGATGGCTTTGAATCGCCCCTCTGCCTGCGCTGTCTCGAGCTCCGCCTTGCAAGCAACGGTGAGAAACACCTCCTCATGCTGATGCCTCCAAACCGCTCCTAACCACTTCCGACCACCTTCCATACACACCTGGAGGGTGCGGCCGTCCACAAGGGTGATTGATGACTTCAAACCGCTCCTCCGCCTGCGCCGTCTCGAGCTCCGCCTTGCAGGCGATGGTGAGAAACACCTCCTCATGCTGATGCCTCTAAACAACTCCTAACCACTTCCGACCACCTTTCCACACACACCCGAAGGGTGCGGCCATCCACAAGGGTGATTGATGGCTTCGAATCTCTCCTCTGCCTGTGCCCTCTCGAGCTCAGCCTTGCGGGCGGCAATGGTGAGAAACACACACCTCCTCCAGCGTCGGCAGGGACAGGTGCGTGCGTCACTAATAACCAGGCAGACACCCCAACCCCTGCAACCCACATGCACCCACATGCACCCACATGCACCCACATGCACCAGCATGCACCAGCATGCACCCACATGCACCCACATGCACCCACATGCACCAGCATGCACCCACATGCACCCACATGCACCAGCCAGCCGTACCTGCTTCCGAGTCGACTCAAAAAGGGTCGCTAACAACCAGGCAACCACCCCAGCACCCACATTCACCAGCCGTACCTGGAGTGTGCGACCATCAACAAGTGTGATTTCCTCAAACCGCTCCTCGGCCTGCGCTGTCTCAAGCTCTGCCTTGCGGGCGATGGTGAGAAACACCTCCTCCAGAGTGGACAGTGACAGGTGCGTCTCTGTCACTCCGAGTTCCCTCTTCTTCTGCTTTAGCTCACGGAAAAATGTCTGCATTGAGGGAGGGGTTGCATGGGGACGGGTGGGATGGGGATGGAGGGCAAATAAGGTATGGCGAGAACCACCTCCTCTAGTGTTGACGACAGGTGGGTCTCTGTGATGCCTAGCTCCCTCTTCTTCTGCTTCAACTCACGGAAAAACGTTCGTGAGAGGTGGGATAAATGGCACATAGAAGAAACAGTGAGAGAGGTTGGGTAAGGGTTATCTCAAGCCCAGCCCCGCAGACGATGGTGAGAAACACCTCCAGTGTTGACAGCGATAACGATAGGTGCGCCCCTGTGATGCCTCCCAGTGGACGGTCAAACCAGTGGCAGAAAGCTTGTGAAAATGAGGCGCGTGGTTGGAGGGCTAGATCTCTGGAAGGAATCGCGGCAAACAAGCAGCTCTACACGGAGGCTTACTTCGGACTGGCGAATGAAGGCATACTGCGATTGCCCATTCCCAAGTATGCCTCCGTGTAGCGCTGCTTGTTTGTTACGACTCCTTCCAAGGGGAAGAGGGCTAAGGGGTCTCACCGTGAGCATAGTCTCCTTGCTGCGAGGCACCAGGAACGTGATGTACCCCTGCGTCTCGTCCACCAGCTGCACTCCCCAGTGGACAGTCATAGAGCCAGGCCTTGAGGTCTTAACGCGAGGAGGAGAAGCAAGAGATAGTAGGACTCACCGTGAGCATAGTCTCCTTGCTGCGAGGCACCAGGAACGTGATGTACCCCTGCGACTCCTCCACCGGCTGCACTCCCAGGCGATCATAAAAGAACCCCTTCACCGCCTCCACATTGTCCCCAGGTGTTCCGTCAGGTGAAACAGCAGAGGACGACAGCGGAGACGACCCGTTCGACGTCTCAGCCGCCGAATTTTCAGCACCACCAGCGTTTACCACCCTCGCCGGCCGCCGCACGCCGACAGTCACCACAAATCCCGCCCCAAACCGGTTCTTCAGGTGAATCGACGTCCCGATGCACCGCATCCGCCCCTTAGCCATGATCGCGATCCTATCCCCGAGAATATCCGCCTCTTCCATCGAGTGCGTCGTCAGCACAATCGCCCGTCCGCGCTTGGCCCTCTCGATGATATCCCACACGTGCCGGCGCGAGACCGGGTCCATTCCGGTGGTCGGCTCGTCGAGAAAAACGATCTTCGGGTCGCCGATTAGGGCAATGGCGACCGAGAGGCGGCGTTTCATGCCGCCGCTGTACCCGCTCGTGCGGCTTTTGGTGACGTTTGTGAGCTTGACTTCTTCGAGGAGCATGGCGCATTCCTTGGGGATTTGCGAGGGGAGGAGGCCCTTGATGCGGGCGAAGAGGAAGAGGTGCTCCTGGCTGGTGAGGCGGTCCCAGAGGATGTCAAACTGCGGACACACGCCCATGATGGCGCGGATGGCCGCCATGCTGCCTGGATCGCGGATGCAGTGGCCGTATATGAGGCCTGGAGGAAGGGGAGGAATGACAGAGCAGGTGGGGAGGGAAGAGGTGGTAAGCGGTAGGAGAAGGAGTGTCAAACTGCGGACACACACCCATGATGGTGCGGATGGCCGCCATGCTGCCTGGACCGCGGATGGAGTGCCTGTATATGAGGCCTGAGAGGGGGAAGGTGGGTGGGTGTGGGAGGGTATGGGGAGGATGCCCGTGAGGCAGTGGATGGTGTGGTGGTGCTCTGGCGAGATGACTAACAAGTAGGTGAGACCAACACAGCAGGACATGAGACCTGACACACTGCCAGCTGGCAAGGACATGAGACCTGACACACTGCCAGCTGGCAAGGACATGAGACCTGACACACTGCCAGCTGGCAAGGACATGAGACCTGACACACTGCCAGACGGCTAAGACCATGAGACGTACCGTCGCCAGCGGTGGTGGGGAGGATGCCCGTGAGGCAGTGGATGGTGGTGCTCTTGTGAGTCAACAAACTAAGTCTCGATTGCTGGCTGAAACCCAACCAGCACTGCTCTCCCTCAACCCAACCTGCGCGCCCCTAACCATCATCCCCCACACGTACCGTCGCCAGCAGTGGTGGGGAGGATGCCCGTGAGGCAGTGGATGGTGGTGCTCTTGCCCGCCCCGTTGGGCCCCAGCAGGCAGAAGAGCTTGTCCTTCTCCACGTTAAACCATGTGCCCTGGAGATGAGAGAGAGGGGGAGAAATCAAATGAGAAAGGCGGTAGGCCAAAGGGGGAAGGGGTAGAGGATAAGAGTTAGCAGTACGCAGAGCTTCTGCTGCCCCGTTGGGCCTCAGCAGGCAGGAGAACTTGTCGAGTTTTGAGACGTCTCAAAACTCGTCCTTCAATTGAACCACGTGCCCTGGTGACGAGCGGAAAGGTGGAAAAAGGAGTGGTGTGAGAACGAAAGGCGATGTTGCCCAAGTGACTCAGGTAGCGATCCCAAGCAGCCAGAATAGCTTGTTTTTCAAGTCTAACCACTAACTTCGCTGCTCAATACTGTCGATCATCCACTCACCTTGATGGCGTGGAAGGGAGGCATCACTTTGCACTTCAGCCCCTTCATCTTCCACTTCTTCGGAAAGGTCTTCACCAGTCCCCGCCCCGACACTGTATAAGTCGACCCAAACATTTCTTGTAGGCCTGAATATCAAACCACGCACCTTGATGGCGTGGAAGGGAGGCATCACTTTGCACTTGAGCCCCTTCATCCTCCACTTTTTCGGGAAGGTCTTCACCAGCCCCCGCACCGACACCGCCACGTCAGCATCCACCTCGCCTCGCTCCGCCTGCCCCTTCACGTGCTCCTCCTCCTCCCGCACGTCCTCGTCCTCCTCCCCCACCAGCTCCAGCCCCGGGTCGGCCTTGCCATCGTTGTGCCGGGCGAATGACGCCTTGCCTGGTGGGGGAGGGACAGGGGGGGCGGAGAGGGGGTGGAGTGTGTGTGTGCTCCTGCGCGCGCAGGGCACGTGCGTGCGTGCGTGTGTGTGTGTGTGTGTGTGTGTGTGTGTGTGTGTGTGTGTGTGTGGATGTGTATGCGTGGCTGTGTGTGTGCAGAAGGAGGGGTAGAAGAAGTAGGGCAGGGGCTTGCATGAATGTATGCATATGTGTTCGCATATGCATGTGCCTGTGAATGTGCGTGTAGAGTAAGCACACTCACCAGTCCAGAAGGAGGGGTAGAAGAAATAGGGCAGGGGCGAATTTGCATGCATGGCGCGTATAGAGGGGGGAAAGCTCACCAGTCCAGAAGGAGGGGTAGAAGAAGTAAGGGCGAGTGTGATATTTTTTCGAACTTCCCAAAGTTCGAACTTTTAGAAGGGTTCTGCACGGTAGAATACAGTTGCGAACTTTTTCGCCATGGTGCAAAGCGGTTTGAGTTCGAACTTTGACAAAATTCCGAAGATCACACGCGCCCTAAGTAGAGCACGCGCTTGCAATGTACGTGTGGCCATGTGTGTGCAGCCGGGACCACTCACCGGTCCAGAAGGAGGGGTAGAAGAAGTAGAGAATGGGCTTGCGGATGCCGTTAGCATCAGGCAGCACGTTGTCAAAATAGATAGCGAGGATGAAGAAGAGGAAGAAATCGCCTATGAGCCACACATAGATGCTCGCCTGGTGGTTGGGGGAGGAGAGAGGGGAGGAGAGAGAGGGGAGGAGAGAGAGGGGAGGAGAGAGAGGGGAGGAGAGAGAGGGGAGGGAGTGGTTTCGTAGAGGTGGGGTTTGGGATCATAAACGCGAGAAGGAAGATGAGGAAAAAGTTGTTGATGAGACACAGATACAAGGGAGAGGGGAAGGGGGAAAGGGGAAAGGGGGGAGGGGATAGGGGAGGACGGGGATAGGGGAGGACGGGGATAGGGGAGGACGGGGATAGGGGAGGACGGGGATGGGGGAGGAGGGATTTAGGAGCGGTGGGGTTCAGGAGAGGTGGGGACTAGAAACCTCAGTGGCAGGCTGGTAGCTGCTACCAGCGTGCACAACCTGTTTTTTTGGTCGAATTTCGGGCCGAAATTTTCGTCGGATCACAAGCCACCTTGGCTTGGAATACAGTACTTCATACATACAATGGCAGTACAGCTTACCAGAGTGTTGGTGCAGCCTGCGTTCCCGAGCGTGCACTTGTTGATCTCGCTCAGACTCACTCCAGGCGACTGCGGCAGCTTGGTGGCATCAGTCAGGTACTTGAGGGACAGCGTGAGGAGATCCGGAGGAAACAGGCTGAAGATCACCCGCCAGAATCCGGAAAAGTCGTTGGTGTAGGGAAACCCGAACATGACCATTAGTTGTAGGACAAAGCCCAGGAGGAAGATGAAGAACCCGACCGTGTTGGCGTTGGCTGATTTCCGCATGAAAGTCGAGACGAGGAACGCCAGCCCGGTCATCGCCACCCAGAAGAGGAAAAAGACGAGGAACAGCACGACGAAGCTGTTTTTGAGGAAGAAGGCGAGCTGGAACATCATGCCGAAGCAGATGAGGAGAATGCAGGTCACGAGAGCGACTAGCAGCTCCCAGACCAGCCAGGTGCTCCAGAAGACGGAGTCCATTAGGCCCATTGTCGCCATGGCTTGTCGGAGCTTTAGCTCACGCTCTATGACGAGGTTGGCGGCCTGCGTGACGAAGTTGAACATGGCTGCTGCGAAGAGGAACGTGGGGCCCGCTAGGGGGATGGCGGAGAGCGACTGGTACGGCGGATGCGCGAACTCCGAGTAGCTGGGCTGCCACCCTATCGTCCAGTCTGAAAAGTTGCAAGAGCAGGGGGGAGAGGTTTGGAGCGCAAGGGGGAGGGAGTGGAGGAGTAAGGGATGGCTGAGAGCGACTGGTACGGCGGATGGGGAAACTCCGAGTAGCTAGGCTGCCAGCCTATTGTCCAGTCTGGAAACGGGGAAGGAGATGGGTGGGGTGCGGTTGGGTGGGGTGGAAAGAGAAGAGGGGAGAACCATGCGATGGGGCGGGGTGGAAAAGGGGGAAGGGAGTAATGCAGGGGATGGGAGGAACAGCTAAGTGGGTGGGACTCGTGAAAAACAGCTATTACCAAATCCGCCATTCTAGGTTCCTGAAATGTGTTGCTCCTGGGCAAAACCATTAATTACTGTGGTAATTCTCTTCACTGCATCTATTCATTTCCTCCTTGAAACGTCAGAATCCCCATCCTGAGCTGCTCCCCAAACCGGGTTGCCTGGTTACCACGCATCTTGAGCGATGTATCTGGCGATTTCCCTCTCCGCGGCCGCCTGCAGCGGCACCTGGTGGTCGAACGTGGGGTTCTTGAACCGGGTTCCTTTCCTCCCCTAACCCAGCTACCCGGTTACCACGTACCTTGAGCGATATATCTGGCGATTTCCCTCTCTGCGGCCGCCTGAAGCGGCACCTGGTGGTCGAACGTGGGGTTCTCAAACGTCCCTCGCCGCACTTTCGACGTCGAATTCGTCTGCACGGCAAACCCGAGGTCGCCCTTCTCCGTGAACGCGAAGTGCAGTGCGCCGGGCGTCCGCATCGGATGGGCCAGCAGCCAGACGTCCACGTCGCTGGGATTCGCGAATCCCATGATCTGCGGATTCGAGTCAGTCAAAGGGAGAAAGAGATTAGGAAGATGACGGTTGATAAGGGGGTGAGTAGGGTGAGGAAAGGGGTAACAAGGAGCTAAAAACTGAGAGGAAGGCGAAAGTCGGGAAATTTGCGAAGATATTTTCTTTCAGAAGTCACTTGAAAATTCTTCGATTATTTAAATGATGTTCTCAGAAATGCAGCCTGCACGTGTGGTGTGTGCCTGTTAAGCTAGGATACCGTGTGTAACCGCGTGTGCCGTGCCTTTCCTTCGTGTTTTTTACGATCTTCGAAACGCAACTCGTCTCACCGTTCCTCCCTGTGAGCAGTCGAGTCCATTTCATTCTTCATTCTACGTGACTTCACTGGAAAATGTTAGTGACGTACTCTGGATGCATTGATTGGACGGCCGGGATTGTTCGCGGAGATGTTCTGAACGAGAGACGTTATGATCTTGCTGTTGTTCCCGCTCCACAAAAAGTCGTAGCACGGCTTGAGAATGTTAAACGCGTTCTCGCACGCCATGATTGGCTGGACCTCCACGACGTTCGGATTCGGCGTGTCGCGAAACTCCGTGTAGTTCGTCAAAGCGGCTTTCACGGAAACGTCCAATAGGAAGATCAGGAGGATGAAGAAGAAGGACGAGCAGAGCTGCAAGAACGTCGCGGTTCGGTTGCGCCATGCTAGCAGCGCGTTCTTAATCATCAGGGCTTTAAACTGCTGGAAGTAGAGCTTCATGCCTCGCACCCTAACAGGGATAGCAGGTCCGACATTACCGGGGTCTGGACCTAAAACTTCCCCTTCATTTCCATTGGTACTCATGACGGCGAGACTCTTACGAGCTAGTATCCTCGCAAGCCAAGTTTCTCGCAAACTAAGCTGTTAAGGTTATGTCGTTGTGTAACTATAAAATGGAAGGATAGGCAGTCCCTCGGGAGCTAAGTTTCTCGAGCTGGTGAGTAACTAACTAAATGCAGGGAAGATCGTGACAAATTCCTCTGTCGTTTCGCTCGACTTTGGCTATACAAGCGAACTGTCGCTTCAAAGACACTAGCTCCTACTTTGCTGAATCACTAACAATTATGTTATCTTTCTCACATAAACGCTGAGAGAGCAGAGACAGAATTGATAGCCATGAGGTACCTCGTTTTCCACCGAACTCTCAGTAGCTGGATGGAATGAAAGCTCGGCTCGGCACCGTCAGCCTTGTGGCACGAATTCCTGGGGCTACGAGGACTGCAGCTTCCTTTCAGCAACAGAAGCAAAGCGATGAAGTTGAGCGACAGGATCTGCAGTACCCAAGCCTGCGACAACGCGGTCGTTACAACAGTGCAGGAATTTCCAGGCAAACGGTCGCCTTTCCTCCTTCGCACCATCACTCGCGTACCTTTGCGACGCTCGACGACCCCAGGCCCCGGGGCCTGGTGGCGCCGCGAAACCTTGGGGATTCCCATTCCGCGTGAGGGGAACGCTAAAATAATTTTCCCCTCTCCGCCCAGCAAATTCTCCGCCTGTCCGCCCACCATGCCTTTCACGCAGCGCATATTCGCCGTACGCCGTACAGTTCGGAATCAGGCGTACGACTGACATGAAACGCATGGGAGACGCTAGCGGGGAATCCTCAAGGTCGGGAGATCTCTGCGCGGAGAGTTCGGTGTTGGCGCAAACCCACGCATCGCATCGCAGGCCCATCCATCAGGGATGCGGTGTTGCGAGATGCGGTGTACACGTATAGCAGGCCAACGAACAACTGGGGCACCGCCAGTCATATCCATAGGCTCGGCGGCCCTACGCTCGGACACCACTGTTCCCAAAACGGTCACTGCTGGAAGAGGGCCATGAGTTGTCCGCGATATTGTCAGGAACAAAAGACAGTAATAACAGCAACCTTCCTTAACCTAGATTTATATTCACACTATTGAAATCATTTGTAGCACTTGCCTAGCCTCCCCTCTACATTACCCCACTTTATGCATCCAAAGGACGTATAATCATGAACTGGTGTGAAAATTAAAGGACTTCAGGACTGCAGTGGAGTCTTTCTATACGGCACAACAAAAACATATCATTCAGCCCTTGTCATCCAAGCACACACACTTTTGATATTGGATCCCGTATAGCTTGTACTGTATACAGTACGCTTGCAATTCCAACCATGTTGTATGCAAACCCCTCGCCTTCCACCAAAGCCCCCCACTTATTTTCACATATATCCTTGATCTCCAAGGGCCCGTGTGGCTCATTTCTAGCATATTCCCACCCGTCCTTCTCTGGATTGGTGGCAAAGCTGGCAAGCTCTCTAGCGATAACGTTCACTGCAGCATCTTCATAGATGTTGCCATTTGGAGAGCTCCTGATATGGGTAAAAGGTCAAAGAGGGAAAGAGGTGTGAGCTACTGCATCACATCTCATGCCAACACGAGCACGTCTGGAACAAACTTGCAATTGCAGCACTTACGGGTGGCCGAAGAGGTGAGCACACTTTTCCGGGCACTTGCTAGCGTCGCCGATAACCACGTATCGGATGCTGCTAGTGGAGCCATCCCATCCAGTGAAATTCATGTTCTGCTGCAGGGAGCACCAGTCGTCGCACATGTATGTGTTTTCGTACGGCGCTGCTAGTGCGACATCGGGGGATGCGAGGATGAAGTAGATGGCCGTGTCGTCTACGGGGAGCATGGCGCCATCGGCCAATGCGTTGCTGAGAACTGAATAGTTTTGGGAGCATGAGGGACAGAAGGAGGGAGTAATGGACGCGTGGGAGGTGAGGATGCCAGTGCGATGTCAGGGGATGTGATGATGAAGTAGATGGCCGTGTCGTCTACGGGAAGAATGGCACCATCGCCCAATGCGTTGTTGAGAACTGGGTAGTTTGGGAACATTAGGACAGAGAAAGGGAATATGTGTGTTTGTGAGGTGAGGACGCTAGTGTGACGTCAGGGGATGCGATGATGAAGTAGATGGCCGTGTCGTCTACGGGAAGAATGGCACCATCGCCCAGCGCATTCTTGAGAACTGGGTAGTTTTGGGAACATGAGGGACAGAGAAAGGGAGTAATGTGCGCGTGGGAGGTAAGGATGCCAGTGCGACATTGGGGGATGCGAGGATGAAGCAGATGGCCGTGTCGTCTACAAGAAGCATGCCACCGTCATCCAGTGCTTTGCTGAGAACTGGATACGGTTGGGAGCATAAGGAAGAGAGAACGAACGAAATGTGTGAAGCGAGAATGCCAGTGTTTTATTGGAGTCAGAATGGCTGGGTTGTCAGCTGGAAGCAATATGACTCAAGGTTGAGCAAAGTAAAAATCGCATGCACAAACAGATACATAGATATGGATGGCCAATAAACAGCACATCTGCCATCTTAAAAGGAAAGGCACAAGGCGAAACCGAACAAGCCATACCTGTTTCCACTGAGGCTTCACAGCCGGTCAGATCGCTTCCGGCTGAGTAGTTGTCTCTCCCTGACCCGGCCAGAATAACCTGTCAGTAGTACCATAGGGTGTCACCAAGGACCACAGGAAGCAGGAGACAAAGAGCCCTCATAATGAGCTGATGATCACGATGAAGCAACGATTTGACAATATCTGCCTCCGAACGAACTTACAAGCACCCACAAGCACCAAGCGGCACACCTGGTCGGTCACGTTGACAATGATGCCGGGGTTGCTCGCGTCCCGCCCCGTGTACCTTCCCACCACCCTCCACCACCCCCGCACAGATGCCACCTGCCCAGAAGACACCTCCCCTTCCTCGCCTGGCCCTTCAGCAACCATGCCAGAATAGGCGTCAGGTTCACGGTAGTCCTCTGAATAGTCCGGGTCTTGACTGAGAGAATTAATGAAGTTTTCTACAGTGAACGATGGGGAATCCCACGCGCCGTAGTACAGTATGTACGCGTTAATAGGCTCGTGCTTCACCGGCCCGCCACCGTACGTCAGCTCCACCCAGCCTGGAGGCCTTTCCTTTGGGGGAGGGGGAGGCGGGGTCCCAGGCTCGGAAGCTCCGCCGTCCGAACCTCCGCTGTTCCCTTGGGAATCTTCGCTGTTGCCGCCAGGGTTAGGGTAGGAAAGGTCCGGACCGTCAGGGGGGAAATCATATGGATCGTCCACAGGTAGAAAGGCGCCCAGTGATTCTCCCCCTTCCGACGCGGGCGCGGAGGCGGAGGCGGAGGCGGAAGGGGAAGGCGCAGGCGCGGGGGCGGGGGAGGGCCCGAGAGGCGCAAGAGTGGCGATGATAAAGGAATCCTCTCGCCGCCGAGGCTGAACGGAGAATTCCTGGGAGGTGAGCGCGGGGGAGGGTGGGGGAGTCGAGGGGGAAGCAGGTGGAAGCGAAGGGGATGGTGGGGGAGGACTGGGGGGAATGCGGACAGAAGGAGATGGGGGTGGCGGAGACGCGATAGGGAGGGGATAGGCTCGCGCAATCGGTGGGGAGGGCGGCGGAAGGGGAGGGGGAGGTGGGGAGGGCGGAGGAGGTCGTGGCGGAAGGGGAGAGGGGGATGGGGAGAAACGGCCCTCGAGGATCGTCAGGAGGGCTTTAAGCGAGGGGAGTCGGGGCAGGCCGCCGAGACCGCGTCTTCTTGAAGCCCGTTCACGCGACACCAGGTGATGCGTAGTCGCAGTAATCGCCTCACTGGAGTGACGGCTCTGCTTCTGTGAAAACGCTTGCTGGTATGACTCAAGCCGTGGCGTTCGGGCCGTACAGAGGAGAGGTGGCAATGCTATCGCTAATATTAGTAAAAACGCACATGCTACAGGTGTGGAGTGTATTACTGCGACGGGCATCAGACGCTTCGTTAGACGAGTCGTCATTGTAGTGAACGGACCATGGTAAATGAGTCATTCCTCGGTTCGCATTCTTATCAAGCTTTCTGACTTCCATTTCTCCAGGCGATATGAGCACCCTGGTAACGCTGGTCCGGTATCGCTAGGCGCTAGGTCGAATCTCGGCGAGTCGCTGCCCTGGCGAAGGGCCTGTGCGTGCTAGTAGTTGGAACTAGGATAGCGATAGCGTCGGCAAACCACAGTCGGTATTACGCTAGTCTTTCTTACTCAGGAGTTGATAAGTCCGTCAATGTCAGAAGCTGCCAGGGCTAGCGGTTTCAAGCTGCTCATTGGCAACCGCTGAAGGCCTGCTGATTCTTTCCGCGAGAATGTTGATTCTCCTCGGTTGAGTTGCTGATTTTGCTGCGCTGGTTTGGTCTCCTCTAATCTCAACGTTCAGTTTCCGTCATTAGGTGCTGCTGGGAAAATGTTTTGGAAAAAATGGTTCAGCTGGAAATTTCGAGTCGCGAGCAGGTGAAGTTCGGTTCGGAGATGCTTTGAGCTTGCTTGTCATTGGATCTCGATCACTTTCAGATCATCGACGGTTCGCAGCGAGAGAATTCAGGTTCACGGACCGCATATCCGTGAGTGGCCTGGCCTCGCTCTAATGCGACGTTTCACCTCCCACAAGCACAGAATACGCTATGTGAAACTCGATATCGAATTCAAGCAATTGAGTACCTTCTTTGTAGTTCTGCTATACAGTTTTTCGCTCATATTCTGTTGCGCAAATGATCAATACAACCGTTTTCAACCTAGACGTAGTGAACAAGCCAAGAACGAAGCACACGCGGCCCAGCCTGCTTTCTAGGTACAGTACAGTCCGCTCCCTCGGGAATCCCTAGGTCGGTCGGTCAAATCTCGACACACCCAAGCTGACTACTGGGACTAAAAAAGACCGTTGCTTCGAGAGCACTGTGGCTTGGGGGGAAGGAAGAATGTGTCCCCCCCGTGGCGCTTCCCGCCCGCCCCGAACGCCAGAAATTCGCATGCACAACACAACAATTCCCTGTTTCCGCGTGTTGCAGATGGGTGTCATTGACAGGTGTGCGGTGAGGCTAGGCCACCTACTGTAGTTGTGCCGAGTTTTCTGTACCGTCGTGTCATCTAACGTACACGTACGGCACAAGCTACGCTGGTTCGGGGGGAAGGGTCACCACAATGCAGTGTACTGTTCAGAATTGACATGACGGGACATCGGAAGAAGCACAGCGTTGCTGGGACACTTTTTCCAAGCGAAAGTAGGCGACCGAGCAAACGACGGAGCAGCGAAGAGTCGGTGCGCTAGCTGGCGACGAGAAATACGGACGAGCCTCCATCGCCGCACATCCCCAGTGCCAGAATTGCCCCAACCTCGTTTCATCTTCCCTCAGGTCCCCGGAAGCACTTCCCTTCATTCCAGGAAAACGCGTCGACCTGTAACGCACAGCGGACCGCAAGCGCATCTGCAACTCCTTCCCCGAGCTTCATGAACCGAACTGCCGTTTCGTGTCATCTCGTCTCAGCTTCACTGACACACCCTGCTTCCGCGCAGCTCCCTCCCACCCACCTCCGTTTCGCTGTTGCATCTCACCGCCTTTCATACAACCCTCACCTTGTCAGGCATTGAGAGCATCTCGAATTTCCCCAATTAGTTCTCCCACTTAGCTCTCAACTTCAGAATATCGCAAATTTCTGTCCTATTCAGTCAGGAGTCGAGGTGCTTTCCAGCCGTTCCCGTTCAAATCCGCTAGACTTTGCAAGCCTGGTTGCAGCCGTTTGATGTATTACTTGAGGCTGCCGTTTCAAGCTCCTTTGAAGGATTCGTTACTACCGTAGGACCTTTTAGACGTGAAGATCATCATTAGAGAGTTGTTTCCTGCTTGTCCGACTCTTATCCGCTGGTGAAACAAGCGTAGATCCTGATTATGGAGGAAGGCAGCGTAAATACTGAGACCGGACTGGTTATAAAAGAGGGAGGGTATGCGGACAAAACGACGCAACAGCGGCGGAGGAAACTGGCTACAACCTTTGGGACGCAAGTCGACGCCATCATGCGAAGAAATCTCGCTTATCAGGTATGCGTGGTCTTTGATCATCAAGCCTGCATGCGGACACTGCTATCCGTAAGGCCTGGTGCAGCGCAGAGTATGCACGCGGGGAAGGCTTATGTGTGTCGCCTGCATTTATCTTTGGAAAATGTCGTCTGCAAAATGCAGAGACTTTCAGAAAGAATTGGGCCGGTAAGCTTGAGAGAATTGCTGGGGTATCTCGGAGGAAGCACACGCGTTCGTCACAACTCAGGCCATGAATCTAACCGCATGCTATGCATGTAGCCATAGCGCTTTGGCGTGTTTTGAGTTCATGGATCATACTCGCCATCTTATTTCGAATAAGGATGGCGCAGAACGAGCGGATCGTCATGCATCTCAGTGCACGAAACCCCGTTTGGTCTCACGCGATCCACTTAGCGGCATGTCATGCACAGATGTCGTGGGATGCGTTCCATGGCCTTTTACAGTGTGTCGGGTGTTATTTCTTTCTAAGACGTCTCAGACTACTCTTTGGCGCGCGTGAAGACGATCCATGTTGCCGCATTTCCAGGATGAGTATCGTCGGGCGCGCCGCTTTTCGTGGCTGTTGGTTCTTGAGATTCAGTTGTTTTTTTACTATAGCATGAAAACTCTGTAAAGCGCCGTAGGATGCACTTCTTTCGGTGCTGCCCTGAGCCATCCACCGCTGCATTTCTTCTTCCCCCCATTATCCCACAGAAACGCAACTGGGGCAGCAATCTGTGCCGCATGAGCCTACCAGCCTTGATGTGCCTCTTCCTCTTCCAACTCACAAACCATCCACTGCTTTCTCTTCCCCCTCCCCCCCTTCTTCTCCCCTCATTATCTCACAGAAACGCAACTGGGGCAGCAACCTGTGCTTGGTCAGCCTACCGGCCTTCATGTGCATCTTCCTCTTCCTCATCCAACTCCTCATCACCAACGTTCTCAACGCGCGCTTCAAGTGCGGCTGCGGCTGCCCCACCGAGTTTAAAAACCCAGACGGGTCCTGCCAGCCCGGGAAAAAGGTCTGCGGGCCTCAGTACACGGACAAGCTCGGGCAGATTGCGTTTTGCGAGTTCCCGCACCCGCCAGCCTGGCCGGCGTTTCTGCAGGTGCCGGACGAGAAGTTCCGGGCGGCGGACTGGGGGTCGGGCGGCGGGCTGCCGCCCAGCAGCTGCCGGGTGAAGCCGAAGAACTTTTCGATTGATGAGTCGACGAGCATGGAGGGCAACGGGACGTACCCGTGCTTTAACTCGGTGCTATACACGGGACAGAACCGGCGCATTGCTGACAGTGAGTGTTGCTGGGACGGACTAGACAATTAGTCATTGTGGACAGTGAGTGCGAGAGAGAGAAAGAGGGGGGAAGAGGGAAGACAAGGGGGGCCAGTGGAATTGAGGCCTTCTTGTGCTTTAACCCCTATACGGCGCATAGCTGGTGGATGTGAGGAAGAGGAGACAGCGCACGTTTGTGAAATACCGCTGCATTCCTCCCCCCTCTCAACCTCAAACTCGCCCAACCCCTCTCGCCCTGCAGGCATCGGCTCCAAGCTCATCTCGGAATGTTCCTCTCTTCTCCCTCCTACCCGCCACACAGAAGCATTTCGCCATGCACTGCCTCCTCTCCTTTTCCCTCTCCTTTTCCCTCTCCTTAACAATCTCGTGTGTGTTCACCTTTGTCGCCTCCGCCCGCCCCATCTCCCTCCCCCTGCAGGCATAGGCTCCAAGCTCATCCCGGACGTCCCTCTCTTCTCCCTCCAAACCGCCAAGAAGAAGCAGAGCGTCATGCTCTACCTCACCGACCCTCCCTTCAACCAAACCTCGCCGCCAGCCTCAGCAGTGCCAGGCTCGGGAACGCCCCGGCCCGCCACAGCAGCAGCAGCAGGTCCGGCAGCGAGGAGAGGCCTGCGGAGGGTCGAAGAGGTGCTTCCAGCAAGCGTGGTGCAGCGAGTGATTCAGGAGGCAAGCAAATGGGAAACCGCCACACGCACGGGTTGCGGCGCCTCTGTCAATCCCGCCCGTAACAACCGTCGGGGACTGCAAGCCAACGGTAACTGGGAGACCGACACAGGTTCGGGCGGCAGCTTAGGCGGTAGCAGCGGCGGCGGCGGCGGGGGGAGCGGTGCGCTGGGTGGCTTGGCAGGCGGGTTCGGCAACATGACCAGCGCAACCGGGCCGAACGCGACGAACTTCGGCGTGTTCAACTTCACCAACACGTCGTACATGATCCCAGCGATCACATATGACATGGCGTATGTGCCGCCCGGGTCTAGCACCCTGCGCGGGTGGTCGCTGTACACGGAGGAGGCGCTGGTGGGGTCGGCAACGACGGGGAAAGTGAGGAACGTGACGATTTATCTGGTGCAGCCCAGCTGCGCGAAATACGGCCTGCTGCCCCAGAGCTCGAATATCGCCTTCTCCGGCTTCAACATGACCATCCGTGAGTGCTGCTGGGGGGGGCCGGGGCGAGTATGGGGTGTGTGATTGACTAGTGTGTGTGCGCTTTGCGTGCATGTGTCTGTGCTGCCCCACAGCTCCACCGTCTCCTTCTCCGGCTTCAACATGACCATCCGTGAGTGGGTGGGGTGGGGGAAAGGGGGGAGGGTGGAGGGTGGGGGGTGGGGGTTGGGGTTCAGGGTTGATGGGTTAGGTCCCTGTGGCAGGCCAACACATCCCACGTCAACAGGTCTTGAGGCGCCTCAAACTCCCTCTCTCCCTCCATTGCTCTCTCCCCTCTGCTCCTCTCTCCCTGGTCTCAGGCATCGAGTGTCTGGTGACGCTCTCTCTATGGCGAGTCAACACATCCAACATAAACGACGACCTCTATAAGGGGTACTACCAGGGCAACCCGTCCAACCTCCCCAACCAGTACATGTCGGCCTACGACTTCCAAAACTCCTCCGCCTCGCTCTTCCGCACGCAGATCTGG